GGGGGGGGGGGGGGAAATTAGGGTGTCATATCCCTCCCCTTGGCTTATTTGTGTTGTATAAAATATATAATAAAGCAATGAATGTATAAATAACGTGAACTCGGAATAGTAAAAACTCATATACCCCCTTTCAAAAAATCTGAGTACTCCACTGGCAGTGAAACAATTTAGGAGATGATTTTGGGAGCTATATACCTGTCCTGTCTATTTATGGTTTAAATTTATTACAAGAAAATTATTTTTTTTTTTTTTTTATATCTGATTTATGGCTCGTAAGAAAAATTCAAAAACCCTATGTTTTCTGCATTACTATTTATTACGTATTATATGTACATAGTCGGGGGGGGGGGGAGTTATGGAGAAATTGCCCTGGGCCAGCAAATGTTTAAATATGTATATGTTTAATAGGGGCGCTAATGAAAATTAGCACAGTACTGTCACACTGACAAGTGACAATACTTAAAGCGAACAATTGAACAGTGAAATTTACTAAGGAATTCAAACAAAAAATAACTCAACCAAGTAATTATAATTTCCATTTTTATTTAAAAAAAAACTACTGGAGTTAATGATCACAAAAACTAGTCAGATTCGATAAAATGTAATCTTATTTTAGATGTACTGCTGTTTAGTTTCCTATTATTAACACAATTATTAATAATTTGAATTTTAAAGTTCAGATTTTCAAAAGAAATCTTGATATGGCTATTGTACATTTGTACTAAAATTTAGTAGTATCTATACTATTGGACATTTTATAAATCATGATAATAATAAACCCTTCATTAACTATTGTAACGTAATATGTATATCACATAATATAATAAGTATGGGTATAATATATGTACAAGAAATGTTGTTTTGGTTAAGTTTTTATTTACTTTCTTATATGTATCTAATCATAATTTTTCCTTTTTTTGAAATTTAATTTTAGAATGTTACAGACATAAGTTTAGATTGCCTAATAAGAAAAATTCTCTGGACATAACATAATTTCAGCACACCCAATATTTGTTGAGTGGGTGTAATATGTACCAAGGCATAAGAATCGTTCTAAAATATACACCACACGTATAGACAAGAATAATATTATGGTAAGTAAAGGTGGTCCGACATTCAGCTTCCGAAGGGGAAAGCGTACAACCTCACACTCTCTTGAATCGTACCATCGGGGATCGCCAAATCAAACTACCCTCCGCGTGGAATCGGGTCCGAGCGCGCGCACGCAGTCACGGGGGCGGAGCGCGACGGTTTTGCTCGGCACGCCCTTTTACGGAGGTGCTGATGGGGTGCGGGTAGACGGGAGAGAGAGAGAGTCGGAGCGGCTAACAAACGTGGTGGACAAAAGACCGCTCGACCGTCCCGTGGAAAACAAACGTGTCGTAAACACCTGTTTTTACCTGTTCGCCGTCCCTATATAATATAACGCGCACGAAAACGCTCGTCCACCTACACCTCACCCACAGCGAGTTCTTTAAAACGCCTGTTAAGTGCCAACAACAGCCCCATGTGGGGGGAGGGTGGCGCAAACACCTTTCCACCGAAACATCATTACTCGCGCCGACGCCGAGCCCTTTAAACCGTCGAGTTCAAGTCCGCCGAACGTTATAATATATATATATAGTATAATACCTAGGTAGGTATATAGAGTAATATAATATAACCGTGGTACTTTAGATTGCAGCTTACCACCCACGCGTTTTGGTTTATACATAAATATAAACTAATAAATAATCATATAAAATGTTATGTATATATACAGAGCGATTGCATGTCCATCGTCTATATTTTTAAGTGGCTGACTGTAATATAATAGTGGATGGGACTATCAACTTGATGTGGGTCTGTACTATCTGTTTGTAGACGTATATAGTAATAATAAAACCATACAATGATTGTGGTCGTCGTATACATATAATACTAAATATATATATTGCTTAATATTATGTACATATAGTTATGTTCCATCAATGTTTTTGAAAGTATACTAAGGAGTAAGTTACTGATTGCTTCAACGTGGACATTTTATTTGGCTGGTGCTTAGGTTAATAGGAGGTGGATAAGTTTCAAAAATAACCAATTAAATAAAAATGTTTTCAAAAAAAAAAAATACAGAACCTCTTGGTTTAACGAATTCTTTATCGTATAGACAGTGTACATGCGCAGTGTATCCTATAGTCTATGGAAACGCAGTTGAATTCGATATTTATGTACAGCATTTGCGAAATAATAACTGCAGGATGATTAAAATATTTTTTACAAATTTAGTAAATGATAGAATAGGCGAATGTAAACTCTGCAGTCTGCCAAGGTAAAAAAGGAGATAAAAGTTCGATTTTCAATTCGGCCCTGGTAATTTTGGACAATAAAAAGATGCATAGTCGTCAGGGGACAAACTCTAGTTGCCTTCCTGTTAAAGATTATTTTTTAGATTAATTTTGTTCACAGGTTATTAAAGCTCAGGAATATGAAACGCAAGTTGCCTGCTGATTAGTGTTCTATCGTTTTAATAGAAGTACACAACCTCATATTAAGCATTTTTACCGTGCATTTGTGACACTAAAGTATTAAATTAATTATTTTCAACAATGAGGTTTTTAACGTTATATAGGTATTATCGAATTCAAAAAAATAATAGATTTGGTAAAGTACCTGTGTCAGTCAAATAGTGGTAAGTTAAACTATTTTGTGTAATTATTTGATTTGACGAATACCTACGAATATACTATGCCTGGCGCTACCTAACTTTATTAAACCTGGACGGAATTTATCCACAATTACGTATTTAGGACGTAAGCAATGTTCTTCACGATTTAACTTGCTGGTAACAAAAATTGTATGCATTCTAATCGTGTTTTAACTATAAAGTTGAACTTATACTTGTAAAAGTCAATTACAGGAAAACCCAATCTGAAAAAAAAATGCTAAGTATAAATTAATGAATACTAGCATATAGAACGAACATTGGCTACTGTTTAAAATTAAAAATAATTTGTAATGACAACTATTGAAACATAAAATATTAATATAGACAAATTGAATACTTACCTACATATATTTAAGAACTTTCATTGCCTTAATATCTAATGAAATAAAAACTAAATCATAAAGTTTTAACTTGAAATAATTTTACATGATTCAAATGACAAGGTTTAATATTAAAAAATATTTTTAAAGACCAATAACTCAAATAAATAAGTTACTATTCTTAAATAATACATATTTGTCTGTTTGTTCAACCTTGTAGATTGTGAACTGTGACTTTATAAAACCTGTGTCAAACACAATTAAAAGGAAAAATACATTTTCTTTGACTTTATAAGTATTGTTTCATAATATTTTGATTAACGGGTAATTTTCAATAAAAACAATCAGTTTATGGATACATTTTTAAGTACCTGAAATAAATTACTATTATATAATATTTATCTCTCTGATTTCGCATTTATGCCAATGTTACATAGGTAGGTATATAATATTATGAAAGATTTAGGTTCAATTTATGTAAGCTAATAGTTTTTGAGGTACATGCGGACTGTTTGTTTAGAATAATTAAATAATAATTATATATTTAAAAGATTATAGTTTGGACATTTATTAAAAACACTATAGATATATTTTATAGTTTATACTTTAAAGTATAAATATATATTATATTATAATTTTTATTTTATTTACTTCAAAACTTTTTCAAAAGACATCAAAATGTAAAAGAAATATCTATACAATACGTCACTTTCCCTTTATTTACCAAAAGAAATATAAAACACAAATACTATTCTTGAATTTTTTTAAGAATAATAGTAAGTTTTGATTACAAATCTAGACCAAATTTGAGGTACCATTTTTTTCAAAACAAATATATGATGTTTTAAATATTGAATTCATTTGATGTATAAAATATTGGTTATTTATAATTTACCACGATAAAAATCAAACAGATTTGTAATAGCTAGATAAATATTTGACCTTTTTCATTACAACCGTTGCATATTACTATGTATTTATGTATATAAATTCAATTTTTAATTTACAATTATAACTCACGGGTTATAATTATGTACTATATTTAGTACATGTACCTTTGATGAATGGTGATATGTTTTTAATTTGTTATAACTTTCATAGAGCTTAATTTTTTTTTAATTTTTTTGTTGTGATATTTTGACAACGATTTTTCTTTTACATACTACTTCTTTAAAAATATAATATCATCGCATAACACGTTAGTAATTTTATAAGCACTATTAATTCTATTATATTGTTTAATTGAAGTTTTTTTTAAATTATTTAACTTTATCGCCGTGCGCCTGAAACTAATATATTTTACCAAAAAACTTTAATCTCAATATTCTCAAATAAATAGGACCATAAATACTTAAACATTTTTATTCATACCATCTCGATCACTCTGTATACTATTTTATATATGTGTACGCAGGTCGTCGATTGTTGTTGTGTGAATACCATCTCCGGGAAATAGGTGTTTTGAGAACATTTTCTGTATTAAACGTTCTCTTCAGCTCAGATTTTGTGTGTATGAGTGTGTTCGGGGGTAAATGGATTGTATAATAGGGTGGAATGGGTGGCTAAGGAGATGGAGAAGGAGGAGAAGCGGGACAACAAAAGAGACGAAGAGCTTTTTGGTCGTGTATAACTGATTATTGGGCCTTAATGGAAACGGCCATTTTTCGAAAACGGTCTAAAACCGTTGCCCAGGAGACCGCATCGTGTCTGGAAGACGTTGAGAACTTTTACAAGGCGTATAAAAGGACCTGTGCGAGTAGGCACATCGGCGGGGGGTGGACCTGGTTGGCGTGGGTGGGGCAGGGATGCGTCGGCCGAGAGGAAACGCGCAAAGGGTAGGTGGGAAAAATGGCCAAAATGGATAAACGAGGGATAAACTTTAAAACCGTTCAGTTTAACGTGATTCACTCGCACCACGCATTTTCACGTTTCATTCCGCTCGTACCTCTTCGTTGGCCCCGGTCCGCGTCAGTATAATTTCTTCATTTTTTATCACCTGAAAAAGATATAAGTATATTATTATCATTATTACATAACTCTAACGTAACTATGTGTTGTTAAAATGCTACAATACATACGTAGATGGATAAAACGAAACATATAACGAGTGTTATTTTTTTACCGTTGATCATCGTCTCATAATTTCACTGTGGGTAAGTTCACACGATAAATAAATACATTTTTTTTTTTAATATACACCAGTATGTTGAGATAAATATTATGTATCGATGGTTAGTATAAATGTAATCAATATTTCAATATTTTGATTCATAAAATTACTTAAATAATGAATTTGAAATACTTAAGGGTATCAGATGTAAAATTAACATTCAAATAGATTTTCATATTCTATTTTATCACAGTTTTTATTTTTATAAATTGGTTATACATATTTTATGACTAAATTACTTCCATAAGGAAATTAAAATATTTATAAGCTTATAAAATACATATGTTTTTTAATATATTCTCTTAATTTCAACTTTGGTTCAGCTGGTAACTTAGGGATACCGTTTGTAGATGTCATACAGGATGTACTAATTTTGCAGATTCATACACCCTTAGTTTCTTGCACTTCCTTAGCACACGACATTTATTTTGCACCAGTATTTGCCAATAACTTTGTTGTATACTATCGTCAAATTATTATATTATTGTATCATGAATTTATTCATAGCTAAATTATTAATTTTCAAGACTATTATTTTTTCTTCGACATTTTATATATAACCTATTTTAGTATAACATATTAAGGTAATTAACAAAAGCAATATGCTTTCGAAACGTTAAGATTAATTATTACTCCTTGATTACTTAGACCCACGAAGAAGAAAAAATGACATGCTTTATATTTGGATACTTATAAAATTAATTGAAATAGCACTCTTGAGGTATATATTGTGTATTACTTGTCTAATACTCCATATTACATACCAAAAAATGTATCGACTTGGAAGACGATATAGTTACTAGTTAGGGGTGCCTGGGGTAGTGGAAATAGGTAGTATTGGTCATCGAAGGCTACAATTGGCATGATTTCTTTCATGAATTTATGTACAAGATAATTTCGATATTTTTAGTGCTGTAGGAAATTTATTGCAGTTAGAATTAAATCATTACCTTCGATATAACCAATACTCGGTCAATAATATTGTCAGTATCAAATATTGAATGTGCATGGGCCACTTTAGACATTTTTATAATATAATATATTATGTAGGTGGGTATCTAAATCTAAATCTAACATCAAAAATGTTTAACACAATACCAGTCACAATTTTTTCTAGTGAAAGGATATTTTAAAAATTAAGCATGGCAAAAAATAAACCACGATATACTAAGGGCCGAGACGATTAGAATTGTTACTATTAATATTTACTTAATAAGAACTATCAAATAATATATATAATATATATATATATCTAATAATTACTATAAGTAATTTAGATTAAAATCAAAAAATAGATCAATTAAAAAATGTACCTATTTCTATAAAACGTCGTGTGTCATAAATTATATATTTATATTATACATTTGTGACACATTATATACTAATATGTGTAATTGTTATCAATTATATAAGTACTGTTATTACATATAACATCATAAAATGATGAAATTTATTTTTGGGCCGCAATTTGTAACGAGCACCCCTCGGCCCAAAAAGCTGTTCACTGTGTGCGGCACAGTACGAAAATATAAAAACCAACTCTATCAGTGACCGTATTTATTTAGTAATAGTAAAAGCGCCACAGCCTTTGAGATATGGACACGTCCTCAGACTCGGACAGCGCACTGTCGCCTGGCGCTTACGATCAAGTGACGTTCAACGCGGCGGCCTCGATGACCGGTTACGACGACCCGGAGATCATCAAATCTCCGTCCAGACACTCAGAGTCCTCGGCCAGTGGCAGCGATGTCGCGGAACCACGAGGGGCCTTGGCCCATCATCACAAGTTCTCCATAGATCGCATCCTGGGCCGGTTCAGCGGTGGTGACGCTGCGGCCGCGACGGCCATCGACTCCTGCCCAGAGACATCGGACCCCGGCAATCGTCATCGAAACGAGTTGGCGTTGCGCGGCGTGGGTGAGTGCAACTGCTGAGGCCATGAGACACGCTGCTAAATATACTTACCTAAGTGTCCTGAGTTAGCGGCGTGGTGACTGTATTCTACTCGCGAGTCGTATATAGGGTCCATGCAGATGAACTATTAGAATACAGATCAACAAAATAATGTCAACTTTTCAAATTATGTAATGCACACCTATTCCTAGGTTACCTGGGTAGTAGGTATACCCCCCTAAAAAAAAACCGAACGCGTGTGTTGCATTTCTCGTAACATGTCCATCGGTAATAATTAAAATCTTGTAAAATTAGAACTGTTTTTCACGTCTATAGCTCAGTTTCTTTTTCTCCAGCTCGCACATTTCTAACTTTTTCTTCGTTTTTCTACTTATACTGAATAAAAGTATAATTTAATTAATATGCTTACACATTTAATTTGTGGTCAATCTTATACTTGATTATTTTTTCCGTGTACCTCGTACCAGTGACTATAAATACTAGGTAGAATTTCTAATCAATGTCCGTACCTACCTATATACATCGCTGATTTCATTGAGAACTGTGTTTGTTTTTTATAAAATAAACACAGCGGGTTCTCTTATTTCATGTAATTATTATTTATCGCTTACCAATGTATTTTGATTAATATAAATTAATAAGGAAATGAAAAAAAATAAAAATAAAATAGTTATGATACAACACCGATTTTGAAATATTTAAAAGTGACTCCATATAATTGTTCAATACAAATATAACAACAACATGTTTGGTGTTTGATAATTAATGTTATATTATGTTATATTCATAATCAACATTTTTTTTGTATTGTGTTAAATATAATTTTTTGCATTTTGGATTCGTGCATAATATTAACGACCGCCGTTCGCTTATTTCGTATTCCGAAGATATTCACTAGTGTTTTGACAGGATACCGTGGATTTAGGTTAAAAAACCATTCTTTACAGATTTAATTTATGAAATGATAGAAAAGTGTCTTTGTTTTCATTTTCTAGCTGTTTTTGTATCTATTACTTTTGTCGTTGAAGTTTTGTCTCGTTTTCTATATTCATCACTATTATTGTTACTTATACGTAGGCTGTCTGAGTTTTTCATGTTTTTAGTGTTTAATTTTTTTTCTTATTTTATTAAATAATCAAAAGTAAATATGAATTTATTTACCCTTTCGTTGTAGACTTTGTATAGAAGTAGTAGTTTATTTAATTTATCTTAAATATTTTTATACATTTTTAGGCAACAAAAATATCCGTTTTCCAGTATGTTGTCGTCCTTTATTAATATTTTAATTTTAACATAGATAATGTTCTATGGTTTTGTAATTGGTTTGTTATTTGTGTTTCAGATTAGGTTAGTTAATTTAGATTATAATAATTGGAATTTATTGTACCTAGTTATTTATTTCTAAGGTAGGTAGGTAATTGATATCGTTGGATCCAAAAACACTTAAAAGACACTTAAAATAAAATACAGGAAAAAACTATAGACTTTTAGTAAGTCCGTATACTTTTTTTAAGGTTTTTATATCTATAAGCTACTCTCTGTTTAGGTTAATTACTTAAAAATGTATATATTTTTAAATGTAATACATATTATTTATTATTTATATTTTTACTTAAATAAAAAAATATAAAAGAAATTGCTGTCAGCTAAGTAGGTACTCATCACAATCATTTTTGTACATGTTACAATAACAATTTCATATTCTTTTAAACATAAGTCAGTTTTTCATTTTGGGTGGCAACTGCCATGAATATTACAATTTTAAACAAAATGTAATGCTTCCACCGAGTTTTTTGATAAACTAGATAAATATTTTTGACATTCATAATACACCAGGATTAAAATTAGTTTGTGGCCTTATAAGTACTTTCTCCTTAACCCACACTATAAGCGTGTGTTATTTTGCTATACATTGAACTGATAAAGTGTGTGGTTTTTATACATCAACCTTTTTAGAATCGAAATCATATGTGTGAGGTTTTTGGATGCAGCTAGTTGATATGAATACCTAGTCAATAGTGTTAATATTTTAATAGTTAAACTGTTAAAAGATAGCTACGACCTGTCGAGTAATCTGTGTAATATCTAAATCACAACACGTTATTTTACAATGTGAATTATACTCATGATTTGACTAGAAACCAGAAATCTGTAATAGATATAGCTAGTATAGTACCTCTATTTTGGTTTATTTTATATTGTTGCATTAGTTTATATCGGCTAATATATTAATATAAGCGATAATGAATTCGGTACATAATTGCTAATTATTAAAACATTAGGTATTGTCGTATTGAACTGTTGAACTTTGAAAAAAAAATATATGAATGCATAAAAAAAATTAATATTATATTTTAATTTCACACAGATGGCATCGCGGAACTTAACGGTCATAATTTTCCTTACTCGTCGCTGCTGTACGGCGGGTGGTTTGCAGCTGCGGCTGCTGCAGCGGTAGCTAACAAGACACCACCGTCCCATTTATTCGGTCTTCAGGGTAAGTATATTCACTATTCAGGGTTTGTATAAAACTACAAAATCTGAAATGTATTTTGTTTTGGAATTTTTCAATTCGTTTAAGTTTATCTGCATAAACACTCTACCTAGAAAAAAATCGGAGACACTCTGCATCCATGTAGATCGTCGAGAAACATTATAGTCTACCAGAACACAGTACTGTGTTAAGGGGCGGTCAAAGGGCTCGTTAACATTTATTATATTTTTTGCTTCATCATTTTGTTTTTGTCGTACTCTTAAACTAGAAAATATTTAGATGAATATTTTAAAATATAAATTAATTTTGGAGACAGTTTAATAGTAGCCCATGAAGCCGAAGATAAAAATTAACTTAAAATGAATCACAAATTATGTCGGTAGTAGATACTTGTCAAATTATTTTTTATGATAAAACAACATGATTTCGTTTTACAAAATATATTGTTAGTATAATAGTGAGCACGGGATAGTCATGGTAGGCACTTGACTACTTTGCACGCTCTCCCCCCCCCCCCACACTTCAATATTTAAGAGGATCGTGATAATCAATCATTTTGTTTTAATTTATAAAATACTTTCTTATTATGGTAAATAATAAATATACATAGTTAAATGAGGCTACCCAATCAAAATTAATCTCTAGAACTTAGGCGTGAATAAGAATATATAAACGTAGGCATGTGTGTAATTATATTATTTGTAACTACTCAGCCAGAAATGTCAGCGCACGCCTATGATTGTTAGCATAGTGTGATTCAAAAAAATAAGGTATCAACTAGTAATTAAGTAACTAAACTCCTCTTAATGACAAATTATTTTTTTTAAATAAGTAGGACCAGAATTCATATGCTGTAATCCCAAAGGACAGAATATGTGAATATAAATTGTTCTAGATAAAGAACAAAATATTATGCATAATAGTACCTATATTATAAGAGATATTAATGTAAGAAAATTTAGGATTAAAAATGGCATGATTGATTTTTCTTCTGTGGACACCTGATATTAATTCAAATTTGTCTATAGAGCTTCATGTGAATCTTTTGACGTCACAATTATATAGATGTGACATATTTCTCGATAAACCAACGTATACCTATGAACATTGTACACGCTGGTATTCAATTTGTATAGGCGGTGAAGTAAAAAAATGTTGTATTTTTTTTTTTTCGAACACTCAAGAGTGGATGATTAATATTAAAAGATTCTTTGAATTCTTCGAGGTAATGCGATGCGCCTTCGACGCCTTACTATGGCGGTAATATTATAATGTAATAATGTCGTGTGATCGTATGTAGATATATACACACAAGCATATTGGTTATATTGAGTACATATATAGATTTAATATGATAAAATGTAAAGGACGACGTACAGTGTACGAACGCGGCTATAATGTTGAACAAGTCATCGACATTGACCCAAAGTCAAATGAAAATTTGCATCACAGACCCGAATCGATAGTAATTTGCATTCTGCGGTTTTTTTTTCAATTTTATAATTTATCATTTGTTTGTATATGATTAATACGACACCGGGTCGACTATTTAAGTTGACCCCCCACATCCTTGGTGGATACCACGCGACGAGGGTTGTAAATTATAACAGTAATGATATACTGCGTATGTAAAATCGTTTTCACCAATATTCCCTGCAGACTATAATAGCTAGAGTTAAGTACTTACCTATAAACCAGCAGCTATAAAACGTACACGCTACTCACACCTGAAATTATGCTAATGTACGTATTGTCAGCGGTGTACAATCGGAATTAATGTTATACGTAATTTAAACAGCCGGCTCGAACACTTTTATATCGACACGAAACTGTATATAAGTATCAACGTCCGACATACGTATTGTATAAAATATGCAATCAAAAAGTACCCATATTCATTTGAACTCAAATATTTATCATATGTAAATATTACTTATTACGCAACTATCAAATCCATCTTCTTCTTCTTCTTCTCTGGCTCTCTAAAAGTTTGCCACCATGTTTCCTCATCCTGAACAGTTGTCCTACAGTCTTCAATGCCCAACAACGTCATTAAATCCATCAAATCCGTCTTTTGCCACAGCGGTGAGTCAGCCCTGATCCAAGATTCACCGGAGACCACCCTAGACGAGTCTTGTGGTGGTTGTTTTCTTTTCGTTCGTCATTCAATCCCCAGAATAATAAGTGGCGTGTCACACATAATTCTGGATAGGTCAGGGTGTGCTCTGTGTGTATAATTCATTTCATTTTAATCTTTCATGTTTAGCGTTTTATTGTACCCACGTGCACCTGTATTACAGTGTATGCACAGCCATTTAACAGAGAGACTATTGTGTAGCCCCCTTCTACCTACTACTGAGACCATCGTGAAAAGACCGTTACTTTGAGAGAGATCAGTAAAGCTTATGCATATATTTTACAGGGTCAGTCCCGCTCTAGGCTGGAATATTTGTCCTAGGTACTAGTAAGTAGTAGGTACTCATTTTAGGACCCCGTGCTCCAAATCACGATTCTTTAAAAATAAGAAATAAGTGCCTATATCAATATAGTAATATTTAAAATAATGTATAGAGTAGATAATCGCTAGTGTTAGCGTTAAAGTTAGAGTGTTTATGATTTATAAGACAAAAAGTATTATACAGGCGCATTGAGCATGAAATTTTATAAAAGTAATAAAACAAATAATAGTGTTATGCCGTTATGGTCAACAACATTGGTGACCGGTCAAAATATCTCCAGTATTGATGCAAAATAAACTTTTTTTTTATTGATCAAAAAAGACATCGGCAACAAAGGCCATTAGTCATATACGTTACATTGATTACATTTTTGAATCTTAAATATAGTATTTTTGAATTCGATTGTACAATTCATATTTTCTTAAAAAAGTCAAGATTTTAAATGTGGTGTCTGCATTTGGTCCGAGGGTTGTGACTAAGGTGGTTGGGATGTTCAGCTGATGGAGTTCCTCTGTGTATTGACGACATTCTGTGAAGATATGGCGGATTGTTAGTTCAGTACCACAGGTTGTGCAAATAAGTTTTTCGTCCTTTGACATGAGGTAACCGTGGGTTAATCGTGTATGCCCGATGCGAAGTCTGTTCATCAAAATAAACTTGTTACCAACTCAATATAATTTTTTTTTATATTTAATACCAAAAAAACTTATAAATTACTTACACGACATTGTTGAAGTCATATTATAGCCCTATATGACTACATACCTATTATATTTTATGCATTGGTTTTGTGCTTTCCCACAAGATGACATGTGGCTGCGAACTCTCACTATTATCATTTGATGTAGAAGTATCGTATTATGGTCCAAATTCGACCTTTAATTATGTGATCCATTCTGTCTTAATTGCCAAAAAATTTGGAAGAAAATGTTTAGTTATACACTTTTAAGTGATGATTTCTTATTATAACAGTGTTTGGTACTATGCCGCTTTAATAATATAATGTTAATAAATAATTATTTACTATCACTAAAATATCCTTATAAGTCGCAGAATATGAATTTAAAGTTATTAATTTTACCACACTAAGATGGTAGGTTAGAATATGTAGGATAGTACGTATATAAATTAACTATATGCGGTATAATGAAGAATGATATACATATTAAAACGAAATCATTGGAAGTTTTGGTCAATTAATGTACTTACCTAATGAAAAATAAAAAGCCCCACCCCCGAGAAAATATTTTGTTCGGAGCCATGCACAAACTACGGCCGGCCATGAATATACGCCGACATAGTGACATATGCTGTAGGTTTACACCGGGTTGAGATCAATAGCTGCAGAACAACTGTTCTCAACATGTTTCGATTTGAAATTCCTGGGTTGGCTTGGTACCTGGGCTACCTATAAATCGGAAGGAGTTTTAAAAAAAAAACTGGGTGAACAATAATAATTATTCGAGTCACAGCGAAATAATTAAATAATCACCGCGAGTTACATATCAAAACAGTATAAGCATTGGTAGGTACCTACTACATAAGCATTATAACTGACATTATATCTGCACGTCATTGATGATTGATTTTTATTTTTAATAGTAAAATAATTGAAAATAAACACTTGTCAGACAAAAATTGTGATTTGGTTGCTTTATTTTAACTTTGGGCTCAAAAAACGTCTGTCAATCAAAATAAATAAGTTCAATAGATGTAATTGTTATTGAATTAGACATCTATAATTTCTGTAAAATCGAAATATTGTAATGTCAAGAATAAAAGACTGACTACAACAAAACCATATTCATTATTATATACCTATGCGTGGTTATCCGATATATATTTACCCAACAAAATATTATAAGCTATCAATTTGAATAAGATTGATTTTTGATAATCATATCAGCTATAGCATAATAATTGACAATTGTATTTAAATTTATGTCTGTAATTCGCCAAAATAATATTACATTTTTCATATAAAATATATGTTTTGGCTTAGTGAGGCGCGATCGTACCTACTCTCAATCTGCGGAAACGCTCTGAGTGTACCTACTGGCCGACGTTACTAACTTCCGGATGGGTGACCACCCGGGTTTTTAGCAACACATCCTTGTCACGTATACAAAAACACGTGTTACTATCAAACACCATCATAAAAACCTACTAAACCTTTACAAAAACTCATTACCGTACCACCCCACGTCCAATGGCCTGTTGCCTAGGGTTCCCTTAATAAAAAAAATATAGATCTATGTATGTTGTTCATGTATTATTATTTATTTTTTATATCGTTCTATTACATACAAAGTTTTGTACATTTTATCATTTACATAATATAAATGATATGGTAACCGAAAAATAAATAAATAACTATTATTATTACGGATATTACAAATACACAAACAAATAGTTGAAAATCTATATTATTTTTAAAAAAATGTTGTAAATATTTTTAATTACATAATACTGGTAGGTATTAAATTTCAAGATGCTAAAGTTGCTTTTCCTTTTGTCGTGGGGGTGAAAAAGCGGCCCGTGGGCCGGCAAGGGCTGAAGGGATATTGGTGAGTGATACGAGCAAGCGGCAGAGCCCCCTTATAATACCTATTTCTTGCCATTAAATGTATTATTATAATAATATACCTAACAACTAATTCATATTAATTTAGAACCGGCTTTGTAGCTACGGTGAGCGTAGGTAGTCCTAAACGTCCAATAATCATATTGTGTGCTCATGGGCCATGACCCTAATTATTGTTTGACGAATCCACCGGATGTAATAAAAGAACTAATAAAACCCTATACAATTCGCATGGGTCGCTTTAAATTGCATCTCATTTTTAATTTTTATGTAAATTGTGGCCCGGCTATATTTTATACATATGTAAATTGCGGACCGGGTATATTTTGTGCTTATGTAAATTGAGTCTCAAATATTTTTTATTCATACATAAATATTACGTCTAGCCGTCTAGGGATATCTTTTCAAAATCGATATTTCCCTTCCCATTTTCAAACTCAGGACTAGCAATATAATTGTATTAATGCCTAATAGTATGGTTTAAGGTATTGGCTTTACTGCAGGCAGTTAATGTTGTTTATGATTTGAATATATGCACTGAGTATTAAAAATTAGTTATTAGTAATTTTTATTGTTTCTTCTAGGTGCATAAATAATTTGAATTTTTTTTTCCACGATGTTTTTACCTTTTGTAACAAATCAAGACTCAAATTGATCGATGTATCACTGTATTGCATGTTTTGGGGTTAAATATTCCAGGACACAATTTACATACTCCGATAGTCCAATTCGAATTTATGTCAGGGAAACAAGGAATATATTTATTTTTAAAGTAAAATTATCCATAACGCTCATGAATTACCGCAAAATATACGTATGATTGATTTTTAGACTAGAAGTTGTGTAGGTAGTAGGTACCTTTAAACTTTTAAAGAAATATAGTAATATTTATAAAAATTTTCAAATAATATACTATACACTATATATAGTATATACCAATAATAACTACCTATAATTAGTTTTTTTTTCAAGCTTTTATCTTTTATTATTACTGGATTAGCCGAATTTATCAGATGTAAGTCGTTTAATGTACATGTTATTATAAAAACAAACGGAGTCCCACCGTTTCGTGATGATATTTACCTTGAAAAATTAGTTGTGAATAACGCGATGGATTTAAACAGTTCAAATGATAACTTTACTGAGCAATATTTTTCGGAGTAAAATATTTTTTAGTTATTAGTCTCCGCACAAATACGATCCTAATATAATCTTCGGGTAACATAGAAAATCTACTTACCAGATTAATAATATTGAACTATATTTATTTATAGTTAATGTTAGAACAAATTTACATGTCGTTATCGAATTTTTAGACAAAAATATAAACTGTGCCGTTGAGATAATTTTTTTCATATTTTTGTTTTTATAAACGAGTTATAAATAATTATAATACATAGTAATGTACATTTTAATAATATTTAAATAATTCTTTATTTTTAAACATGCATATAACTCATTTGAAAAAATATGAAAACAACTCTATTCCAAAAATGAGATATTATGTAAATTTGATCTAATATAAACCATAGTTAATAAACTGCAGTATAAATGTATAATTACCCGGTAGGTACTTATATTTTTTAATTGTTATGTCCGACGTTTGTAAGAAAGATACAACATGTGTGGAAAAATTAGCAAACACATTATCGCGGTCCTCTTAATGTAAACACGTCTGAATATTATATGTAGGTACCTACCTATATGTATACTTATATTTTACAGCTCCAAAAACTGTGGGAAGAAGATCTAGGAAGCCAGGATTGGATCGAAAACCCAGGCAAGCGTATAGTGCAAAACAGCTAGAAAGATTGGAAGCAGAGTTTAAAGTGAGTAAATATGTTTGTAACACAACATATTTTAGTCCTCCTAGAATATTGTCTTATCGAACCGCCGTGCTCAAACTAGACCGCACTTTAAATTTGTGTGCACTGGACACTTATAATATATAAATTAATTTTTAAAATATATTCAAGCACCCAATTCAACTATATGAACTAAGTATTTGAACAATATATTGTTTGATTTTTTAGGAATTAATATTTTACTACAACTAAGGGAATATATACTTCAATTACCTATAAACAATAAAGTATATAAACCATATATTATGTACTTAGTTATATTAACTGTTCAGTTGTAATACTAGTGCATCTAACTAATTAGTTTCCCCCTATAGGGGCATAGAAAGGTAAAACGCAATACAAAGGACCTACCTACCAATAGTTTATCGATTCAAATATAGTAACAACTTTATATTTTACGTACATTTCAAAATATATCATGAATAAAACTCACAATTCCTATAAACAAGACAAATGTATCTGCAGTTTTTAATAATAATTATGAATAATTGTTTTAAGTTCTTCACTTTACTGTAGGAAAAAAACCAATAATAATTAAAAGGTTGTGTTAAGTTATGGTTTCAAAAGGATCAATTATAAACACCATATATGATCAACGGAGTTATTGTATATATTATTATACTTTACAAATACTTTTCATTTTTCAATAATACAATTTAATGAATAGAAAAATATATTTAATTGATTATACTTTTCCTGAATGCAATCGGTTGATAAAAAAAAACAAGTCATAATCCTTTTAAATTCAAAGTCTTTAACAAAAGAACGTTATTTTAAATTGTTACATATTAATCATCTATTTAAATTTTAAAGCACTTATAATTTATTAAACCTTAGTTAATAATTACGTTATAGGATGACATGTTGGAATAATTAATGATTTTAATATCTTGCATAAATATGATGTTAGTTAACTAAACACATATTCTAAGAAGTGTTTTTATAAAACTGTTATCCGTTCGTAATACAATATTATTATTTATTACTCAAATGCACGACAGCGGTAATTTCAGGGACAAAGTAGGCAATATATTATACACGTGTGAAGCGTTTTTGTAGTTTTAGACACTTCTTTTTCCATACTCTATTTTTCAGTTTTCAGTGTTGAAAATAAGAAATCATGTTTAATAGCTTAAAACATTTAAATGCACAATGCTTAGGAGTTGAAGAAATCGAAAAATAATGTTTAAATGTCATAACGCCTATGATAAAATTGGTTGTGACTATAAGTACCAACTAATGAAATGCATTGACATAACTTGTGCGTCCTATAAGCGCAACTAGGGATTGGCAACTATAATAACTATTATATACATATAGTGTAGGTATACTTGGGAAGATAAATATTTATTTTTTTATATCGCATTATTTTAAGTGAATGTAAATGAGAAAAACCACGGTCTTAGATTAGAAAAACTATGGTCTCCAGACACTAGAGTAGGTAACCAATAAATTGTACAATCGATATGGAGGTACCAAAAATCATTTACCTATCTAATGTTATTTACAATGGGTAATGACTTTCTGTCGTTCTCTGTCACGATTTACGACGAATTGGACGTACCTAATTTTTATTGAAAAATTATGATCGTCAAAACGTCGATCAAACTGGCGTCGCTAATAAATAAAGATGAACATAAAAATATGAAATATTTTTTTTAAATATTTATCGATCGATTATTTGTTTTAACGAGAATAATTGAAAAATCAGCATTCAATAACATTGTATAGGTAGGTCGTATAAAATATTTACACAAAAATCCACGGCCTTTAAATCGTACGACGATGATACATATTATCATAATAAAATACGGTCTCGGCCTCGGCCTCTGTATTTGCAGACGGACAAGTACTTGAGCGTGAGCAAGCGCATGGAGCTGTCCAAGGCGCTGAACCTGACCGAAGTGCAGATAAAGACGTGGTTCCAGAACAGGCGGACCAAGTGGAAGAAGCAGCTGGCGTCCAAGCTGAAGATCGCGCATCGGCACGGTTACTTCCAACCGGTGCAGCACTACGCGTCGCTGTTCGCGCCGCACTGTTACTTCCCAGCGGCGGCGGCTGCGGCTGCGTCTGCTGCGAGCTCCTCCCCGTCCGGTGCCGCGGGTGGCGTTCAAAACTTCGGTTGCGGTTTACCGCCGCCGGCGGCCTCGGCGGGGCGCGAGACAGCGGAACACGAGGCGGTCGCCGTTGAACGTCAAGTCGTCGCCGCCAAAACGGAACGGCAACACCACCAGCACCAGCACCGTCACCAGAGATAAAAAAATTTATTGCATTTGTCACATTTCCATATTGCCGTCGTACCGCGGCGCACCTGTTGTCTACCTATATATTTTGTTGTTGTTGTACCGTCGTATACCTAGCTGCTAGGCATACCTACTATTACCTACCAAATGTATTTTGGATTTGTGTTACACGCGTACAACAACAGGCGATAATAAACAATATACGATAATATAAACAACATTACAAAAAACTGAGTTTGTCATTATGCAGGTCGGGTACTCGGGTTCGCTCAAGTGTATATCGCCATATGCCTATATGCCTATATCGTCTATCAGTGGCGTAGCTAGGAGGGTTTTGGGGGGGGTTTAGGTCCTCCACGTTGACATTTTTGCCCCTAATAATAAATTACCAAAGTAATTAAGTAGATAGGTACTCAAAATACGTGAGTCCAAATGAGTAAACACTTCAACACTTATTACTGCTCGTTAAGACTTTAAAAAAGTAAAGTTGTCGCACACAGGATTCGGTATATTCTAGACGGCGCTGATGGAAAAATAGTTGAGTACCTATTAAATTTAATTCTCATAGCGTGTATACACTTCTATAGAATGATTTCACTGAAAATACTTTGCCAGTCAACTTGTTTAGCGAAACCTCTTAATGGCGGTCGGCATTATGAAAACTGTGCCAACATTTTCTTTTTCCTAAGTCGATATGTAAACTATGGCAAACAAAATTTAACATAGGTACCAAATAGTCTACTTAGTACCTAACTACTTACTTACTAAAATAAATTGGGGCAGTTTGTATAATGTATCTTATCCGTTTTGTCGCAGATTGTACTATATAATATGTTAATTTTTTCTTTGCATATCGACTTTTTGAAAGTGGGTAATTTGTCAGCAGTTTAACATCTCCCCATTGTCAGTCACCGAAATGTTGTTCGGGATTCAAAGGACTTAAGAATGTTTATAGAAGTATACTAAACTGTATTCAAGAAATTAATTTTAATAACCACCGTCAATCCGATTAAATATTATTCAAACTTTTTGAACACACACCCCATTTTATGAGAACCAATCATATTAAACCTTAATTTATAGTTGACACACATTGTTAATTATTAATTAACATTCATTGAAACATTTTAAACTATATATTTAAATTAAAATCATACAATTTTGGTAAGTGTTTCAAACACATTAAGGGATGTATATTGTCCATCCTTGATTTATATTAAACTATTATTTGCAATTATACAATTTCTATACATCAACCAAAACAGATACGAAAGATTTTAAAAAAAATTGTTTCAACTGTGATAAGTAGTATATTATGAGGGATCTGTGTATAAATCAGAATAATACCAGGATCTGTATTCTGCAATATAATCTTACAAGACACTTTAAAAAACCGGTTTTAGAGGAAATAATTTTCTGATGAAATATTACTAAATACTAGACTCGTCCATTTCTAAAAAAATACCCTAAATCTTTGATACATTCAGTGTTGTGTATAGATTGTAAACTTCTAGTTTAAAATATTCTTATACTACTTTCTCGGGTTGAAATCTTCTATTAGCTCTTTATTGCTCATACCAAAAATGATAATTAAAGGTCCTATAAATGATCCTACTAATGATATTATCCTCGATTTTAAAATAATTTAATACAATACATTGCGTTATACATTACTATATATTTTAAGTGAGTATAATAAGTGATCAGCGTATTAAAATAATTTTGTTGCAACACAACAGCAACATTAATACAAAATAATCAGTTTATAAAAATAGTATGGCAAAATTTGGTGTAGTAAGATTGTTTACAATTAAAGGCATTTCATGCAATTAAAAGTGAAATAGTATCAGTGTAAAAATACATAATAACCTTAATAAAATAACTATAAATGTTTAGCAATACAAAATCAAAATATGGTTATACTATTTGTTTTAATTAGTCTTTCTAGGTACTACTTAATTTTGTATAAACAACTCAATAGTAAAAAATATATCATTTTTTTAAAACAATACGCACAAAAAAAATTGTGCAATTTAACAAGATAAAATTTCTTTTTATATAATAAATTTGTTTAACTCAATTATATTAATTAATACAATTTTATGTTTAAAAATTCAAATCAATACAATTGTCACACACATGCACTAATAACTAAACGCATATGAAAAGGCCAGCATAAGACCGCAACATAAATATATATACAAATTGTTTGAACAATTAATGAGGAGAAAAAAAACAATACATTATATAAATATAGTATATAATTAAATACTTAAAAAATAAGAGTCTAGGACCAAGGTCTAGGCACAAACTCGTAATTATTTAGCCTTTTTGTGTACAACCCAACCGCCAGTGTACGTACGCGCAAAGTGACCAGTTCTGCGTAAGCGGCCTGCAAAAGGTAAAAATAAACAATTAAATATATAGACAAAATAAATTATATGTTCCTAGATAATAATCCAACCATCACCAAGGGTTTACGTTTTAATTTAAATAGCAGCAACATTGAGCAGCAGCAACTCTACAGTATACATGAATTTAAAAAGCATTATATTATATATGATTATTATTGAAATACATAAAAAATTTATAAATCAAAGCATTTAAGGACTTACCAATAACGACGTACAACAAAAGTATAAGATTATTTGGGTGACTAAGGTATTTGGATTTGCGAGGAAATAGAAAATAAAGGTATCATTTAATCTAAAGCCAATTGTACCATTACTAGATTTTATAAAATCAAAATATTATTTCATTCTTATTGGATTTACTCTTTAGTTGTAAATATCAGTATATTTAAAAAGTTCATCTTTATATTCATGACACTTTTTAAAAACGGGCTTTTAAATATTAAACGTTACAAATATTTAAATCAGAATATTTTTCTAGTTTCAATCTTTTAAGAAATTGAATGGCTTTACAAAATACATTTAATTCATATTATACACACACACAAACACACACACACACATATATGTATAAATGCAATCATGCATGCTGTACATGTATATGTATATAATATGACCAATCAACATTTAAGTATAAGTTCAATGATTTATTCTTAAATTGTCAATCACGAATTAGTTGAATAATAATCTGTCAACTATCACAACCACAAAATATGTTTTCTTTCAAATTTAATAAGTACTGCTGGGGTGTGCATTATAAGGGTGTTTTGTACTATTAAAATGTTCTTTGTACACAATGAGTTAAAAAAAAAAAATATTTAGATAATGTTCTGAAGGAGGATACAAAATGAAATCGTGTTTCGTGAAAATATAAAGGCATGCAATGTTAAATAACAGTATAAACCTACTTTTGAGTTAATAATACACTTTATAAGCTATTAAAATGCTTTGAGAAATGATATAAAAATGTTGTGATAATAGTTATTGATTTGAAAAATAACTCAATAGTTTGGAATTTTACCAATTTTTTTTTTATAAAATAAACGCCAACAATGAGTATAAAAAATTGTTTGCCATTAAAGCAATATAAAAGCGTTTCATAAGCACAAGCAAAGTAATATATAAGAAGTATCTTATTTTTTTTCTAATATTATTAATGTAAATATACCTAAATAGTGTACGTAGCCAAAATATGTAATTTATGCGGAGTTTGCGCCCACACGGCTCTGGCGTACTGCAAAAGAGAAAAACACCAAAAACCAAATTCAGATTATGGTTTACACAAACATTTTGCAGTATTACCAATCACCAAAGGTTCAGTGGTTCTTGGTAACACGCGATCTGAATGAAAACACAATGCTTTCCTTCAGTCAACATGCTAAAATTCATGTGAATAAATTAAAAAACAAAACAATGTTAAATAAACACCATGCGTGTTATTTATAATTGTATTACTAGGTAATATTATTAGTTTCAAACACTTTAGTTACTAATCCTTAACAGTTGTAGCTTAAAATTAATAATATGTAAATTAAGTGAATCACATATACTTAAATATGGATATTATTTATACAAAAAAGCATAAGAAATTATTTATTGTTATTGTACCTATTAATTACACTATATTCAATACTATTATTAATTTTAAAACGTAATTATTACAATTAAGTCAATTCATATACAACCCTTTCCTTTGAGGAGTTAAATAATTAAAAAATTGCACTTTGGTTTATGTCTCTTCGTATCAAACATTCTGAGAATAATTGAAAGATAAGAATTTATTGACATTTTCAGTCTGTATAACTTTAGTTCAATAGTAATAAGCTAATATATGTAAATATATAAACACAGGGTCGGAGTATTGGATTATTGTCCAAGTCACCCTGGCTTAAATGGAAAGTGTGTCAATTAATACTAGTTCTAATAATAAGAGGATGTTAATACACTATTTATTATCTCTTGCTAAACCAGGAGCAACAAATCAAATGTATGTTCGGCAGAACCAATTCTATGTTTTTATTTTCAGTATTAGAATGAATTTACCTATTAACAAAATTTAAGTTAAAAGCACTATTTGTGTTCTTATGTTGGTATTTTCACAATATTTAAATTTCAAAGCAAGTTACAAGTATGGGATTATGTAAGGATTAAACATTTTTTAAATTTGAATATTGCAAAAAATATAACCTAATAACACAGATGAAGTTCTCAAATTTAAGTTTGATAATAGACTAATAAAATCACTATAACACTTAACCTTATAACGCAAAGTTGGTTCTACCAAACATAAATTGGCCACGTTGTTTATGGGTTAAAGAGAAAAACAAATGGTGCACAGACATTCTCTTAAGTAGTTAAGTATTATTCAAGTTATTTTGATTACATTTTAGTGTGAAAAACTTATCTTTGGAATATTAGAATGTAAAAATTTAAATGGCGTATCATCCAGCTCTTTTTGAAATTTAAACTTAAATTACCATTTTTAAGGCAATCTAATTAATTAATAAGAAAATAATATGATTAAATTAACATCATATTATGATGATTACATTTATAAAAATGTACATAAATTATTGATGTTAACAACACTAAAAAAAATTTAGAACTAGTTAAATTTAAATTTAATGTATTACAAAATATTTTAAGGTTAATGTGTTATATCTCACTCTAAAACACGATTTCATTACAAATTAAAATACATCTAAACATTAAGAGCTGGTAATTTCATGCTATTCCTTTTAAGTAGTAAAATTAATCAACAACAACAAAATGTCAAGACCTCAATAATGTAATCCGCCGATCATTTATTTGATCAAGTTCTTGCGGTGCTTCTGGGGTGTTTTTCTAAAGAACCTAAATTTCATTTTCAACGGCGTGTCTTTTCTTACTGAAGGTGGAAAATAAACAAAAATAAAAATCATTAAACTAACGTCATTGATTGAGATAAGGATGAACAAATTGTAAGGAATATTAAAGAATGTTATAATTTAAAAAATGATTTATTATGTTTTGGCATTCAATTTGAATATTGATTAATGAAGATTAATGAAAATGAGCAAACATCATTTTTGTGGTTAAAATTCAATATAAATTCAAATGGATAGGAACTACATTTCCTAAAAAGGTAATATTTTAATTTTAACTACCAAACATATATACTTAAGAAATATCATCACTCAGTAGGTATGCAAAAGATATGATAAATAAATATTTCAATCAATTACACATTTGATTTTGTATGAAAAAAAATATTTAAAAAGAGAATGGATGGTTAAGATTCAGGTCAGCTGAATTTCAAACAAAAAATATGTACATGATTAAAACACACTGTACGACAATGGAAACATACAAATATTATTCAGTCGATACAATTTCAAAACTCGATTGATTATTGTGTCTAGTTTCAGCCAATTTGAATTTAGCTTGAACGCCAAGGCGGCAATCTGATGATTGGCAATATTTGATAAATGGTTGTAAACGAAATCACAATAAAACAAAAAAAAAATTTTGAATGACCTTTTTGAACACTAATAGATACCATGCATTTACACATATTTTAACTTTTAATGTTTCATGTAAAGAAGAAAAAGAAAAACCAAACATAGATTAACAAAGGAATAAGGGAACTTGATAAAACATGATCGAACATCATACCTGGAACTAAGATGTCAACAACACATAAGCCTCTACATGACTTAATACTTATGCCAAAAATTGAATGATTGAGGCACTATTAACTATTAATTTCTAATAGTTATTATTCTTATACATAGTTTTAACATTATAAATTGTTAATTAAAAAGTCCAGAAAATAGCATTATTAACCAATAAAATAGAAATAGAGATTTTATATGAATAATGAAGATTAAAAAAAAAAAACAATTATTATTATTCAACTAACAATAACGAAAAATAGAAAATGTAAAATATACAAATAGTCTTTTGTTATAGTACAAGACCAAACTGATATAATAATTGATATTTAACAAAAAAAATTGGAAGGGGCCTAATAATGACAAAGCTGGTACTATTAACTGTTTGCTCTATTTCCACTATTTCTATATTGTTTTTTTAAGTTTGTTTTTTCATAGAGAAAATGACAAGATCTAGTTAGTTAAAAGTTACAAAACCAATATATTATCATTTATTGATTAATAATCATGGCTGGACATTTTTAAGTTTAAATAACCATGATCCCTAAATATCAAAATGATCTTAAAAAGATGTTATTGAATTATTTTTAAATAATATTAAACAGTTTTTATTATTTGAAGTTAAGAATTTTTAGGTTAACTTACTCCTGTCAATATTGCGTTGTAAATGTGATGCAATGCGATGGCGAGCATCATTGTACTCCAAATGCAAACCAAGTCTAAGAATGGTTGGATTTTGTTCAATCAATTTGGTAAGTTCCATTTCTATCTTATTTCCCAATACTTGGGATCTCTGAAAATAGAATAATTAATTTAAAAATGTATCTATAATTATTATTTGAAAATGTACCTGGTTGGTGGCACGGAATTCTTCCAAAGATCTCTGTTTCAATAAAGACTTGACTAAATGAATTATTCCTATAGGGCTAATGAAATTTGTTTCCACACTAAAACAATCATAAAATGGTGTGCAAAATTTACATTTATTCTTTTAATGTAAATATCATGACAACATAACTATATTTAGTAAAAACAGAAAAAAAGTTATTGTATTAATAGTAATCTTACTTGCAAACGCGTAATGTGCAATTTTTTTCTAATGCTTCAGCTAGCTTGTCTGCTAACCGATCAGTAAGTCCAACATTTACCAAACTTAATGTTTCTAAATGAGTATTTTCCACTAAAGCATTGAATAGATTCTCAAACTTTTCATCAGAAATATTCTAGAATAACCAATAATATTATATTACTTTACAATTACTAGACATTTTGTAACTTAACTAACCATACTAATGATATACAGTGAACTCAAATTAATTGGAGACAAAAAAAATGTATGCACAAATTGAAATGCAGGGGTATAAACATTTCTTCAGTTTTCAAAAATTTAACTTATAGACATTTAGTTATCGATGTTTCACTGTATATACGTACATATTCAAATAAATAAATCAATAAATAATATACTTACTTTAATGTTGTTCCAATTGAGATCAAGTAGTTTAGGATCATCATCACGTACTCGTTTAATACTGTCTTCTGGATCTGTTTGATTGGGTGGCTCTGGGGGATAAACCTTAGGCTGTGTTGCCTTAGTAACACCATCCCATCCTAAGCCAACTGGCTGACCTTTATTCAATAGTGAAGCATGGTATTGATCTTGGTTCATCATTGAATGGAATCCTAGTATAGCTAAAATAATAACTTAATTTAATAAACCAATTTTAATTACATAGTATACTTAAATATGTATTTATTGAGTATGTATGTTACAACTTGTAAGTTATAAGACATATAAAATAAGGTCATTTAATTGGTCTGCCATTGAATAAACTAAATGAATCAATTGATATTCATAGAGATAAATTACAGAAATTTTATATAAATACCAGCCAAATCTATGATTTCTTCTTGTGATGCGGTATTCAATGCATCACCATATTCATCATCAAGATCAATGGCAATTTTATCTTCATGTTCAGTGTTACCATTGGTTTCAGGTGCCACCCACTGTAACAAAATTAGTGCAGAATAATCATAATTTAAGATTTAAAAATAGTCTAAAGCTACGAACATATTTACTAAGGTCATCATAGCATGAAACTAAGTTAATTTTGTTTATACTTTATATTACACAACAATTTCACAATACTTTCAAATAAACAAAAATACCGATAAAAATCTGAAGGATAAATGGGCAATTTTTTTAGGAAAATTGCCAAAACTTAACTAAATTCATAACCAACTTTAACACATTTTACTGTAATTATTTAGAAATTAGTTTAAACATATACTTTAAAAATTAAATTTATAAATGATATTATAATAATGACATTTTCACTCTTAAAATAATATTCACAGTTAAGACCTTGATATTATTATGTTATATAAACTTTCTCTAAAATTGAAACAAGGAATAATAAAAATATATATTACCATTTTAAGCTACCTATTTGACTATCTAATTGATTGATTTTATATTGAACTCAAAAACGTACAAACCGTATTTGTACCTAATACTTAGAGTTGGAGCTCAGACATATACAAATACATTTGCACATTTTTTCTACATGATTTGTGACATATTAATAATATATTTTTTATTTCATGACATTGTAATTCAAAATAATTTTCTTTTAAGTTATAGTGTATATTATTGACAGTTACCTATGTGTTACTTAATATGTAATTTTTTATAAAAATGTAGTGGCATATTTTAGAGGACCATAACAAAACCTAAATTATTGTTAACATTTGGCACCAAATGTCAAAATTATTGTCCAATACCAACCAAAGTTGAAAAAAAAAATTCAGGATAAGTGTCAAAAAGAATGTATTGTACCTAGATTCCTAATTTTTAATTTTTACTGCTTATAATATCAGTTAATAAAATAAATTTGGTAAATAAGTATCTAATATGTAATTTAAAAAAAAAGAAAGATTCAAAATATAAATACCTCAATTTTAACTACTAATATAATAATATGTAAAATGTAATAGGTGCATGTAATTAGGTACTATGTAAGGTATTCCTCTAAAAATTACCTCTTAATTTTAAATAATTTTAAAAAAAATGAAGTATTTAAATTAATTACATACCTAAGTTATTTTATTTTTACTAAATAAAAATGTATTTAACCCAATATAAATATATTCTAGTGCACTGAGATCTTACCTTTTTCCCTCGCACAGTTCCAGCAACATATGGTTTAATTTCTGGTAGATCAGGCGTTTCTAGAGCCTGTTTGTTAATATGTTCAATCAGTTTTTTTCTGTTTAATGGTCCGGTAGCTTCTTTGTTACATTCATAACTACAACGCTCTGATGGTGGTAACAAGTTGTCCTAAAAAAGAGGAAAATAGGTGCTGTTAATTTTTTTAAGTTTAGTACCTAGGTACCTAAGTATAAGCACAAGTTATTGCTGATGATAATATGATATATATTTCCAGCACCAGATAGACAAGGTATTGGCATACTAAGCCTTAGGATTTTAACCGGCCATAAAAAAAGTTATCATCCTATTTTTCAACAAAGCATTATATTTATTATATATTATTGTTCATATTTCAACGTTCAGAGTTTGGTGTATTTAAATATACATTTTTGGTCATGTATTACTAAGCAGGCTCAAATTGTACCAGCCCACTGAATTTTACTCAGTAAATCACCAGGCATGTCTGGGCCTGTAAGTTTCTCATATGAGGTAATTTAATAGTGGAAAGTTTCTTTAGGAGCAAGCAACGCACCAAAATTAAAAAAATATATTAATCTAAAAGGCGTACATTTGAAAGTTTTTTTTTTCATAAGCCTTTATAAAAAATTTAGCTCAACAATTAAAGTGTCTTTCAACTAAACAAAATAATATAAACAATGTCTACAATAATAACAATTCATATGAATAAATAAATAAGGTTTAATGACAAAGCCAGCCTCCTGGATAAAATAAATAATAATAGTATCTACTTGTTCATAATTGGAATTTAAAATAGAGGAGAGGTTGAAGGGGACGCTTAAGGAATTAAGAGAAGAAACTAAATGAGTACGTCTTATAGAGAGTGAAGCACAATCGAAAAGGATATGCGATTAATCGTAGAGGCATTCATCCAAGTGAAGAGTGCAAAGGTGGGAATCATTTAAATTTTACTTATAGGCATGAGAGGGTAAAGATAATGTCTAATACGTAAATGATTGAACCGTATGATCTGGATTGAGATACATTTGAAAGTTAAATTTTGAAACACTATATATACATTTTGATGTCTATTTGCTAATATAATTAGATGTATAGCATTTAAAATAGAAGAAGCAATCATCTTATTCATATAAATGTCACTAATGGTAACTAGCCACAGGTGTTATACTATAAGATTGTGATTAAACATTGGGGCACTATGACATCTACCTATGCGACAAATAACTCAATGTGCCTAATACGGAAACTTAAGTAGGTACTTACATCTGGATCGACTTCTTTGGCCAAAATGCTAATTTCTTCGGGTGACAATTGAGAGAGAAGTTGGTCGACGTCGAGCTCGTCGTACTCGCTCAGGTTCTTGCCGTACAGCTTGGCCGGGGCGGTGGTCATCGTAGTGGTCTTTTTCGACGACGTCTGTGGAGAACAACAGAAAAGGGCCAATTATTATTGGAACTGGAACAAAATGCACAAGAGAGGCCCTAAAACGGGGCGGAAAAAAACCGGGCGTGGGTCGTTTGTGAGTACAGTCTTGTGACTAATAACGAGCGGTTCACGTTAAACGAACGGGTCGCGTCTTGTGACTGAGGAACCGAAAAACGATAATGGGAAAGCCGTTTGAAACAAGCGGGGTCCACACCCTGCGACAAAAAAATCAATACGCAGCGACCCCAACGGATTTAACGGCCTCCGACGAAAATCCTACGGCGTTTGAAATAGGCGATCGGTCATCGGATCTGGTGACAGACGTTGTACACGTACCGATTTGTTGGACCCGGCGGCGAAATCGAATATATTATAATTATTTGCGATTGCCGTTTCGTTCTCGGCCGGTGACGACTGACGAGCGGCACGACTGGCTGGCGGTTGTAGCAGCGTTGCGTTCGCCAGGACGAGCTGACTGCTGGAAGGCGACTGGAGGACTGGTGAGTGGAGGAGAAACGTCGGTCGCCACCAGTCACCACCGACGGTGGTGGGAAATTGTTATCAAGTGACATCATTTGTCGGTACGGCGGCGGTGTGGTGGAAAGGCTGATTGGCAGTGGTGGAGGGGACGCGCGCGCACAATTTACATCAAACCGGTGGAGATCGCAACCGCGTACGCGTAATACCATGCCTGTTATTATTGTTATTATACCATGACTATTTAGTATTTACACTAAGCTACATGCATAGCCATAATTAAGTCATTAATACATAGTACCTAATATTAGTATATCAGTGCCATGTGAGTACCTATAAACAATATAAACTCGTGTACAGAAATACAAAATGCGATACAGCGGTAATTCAGTGCTGACTGTTAAATGTACACCTCTTTCGAATAATTGAAAAACGTTTTACCCAACACCTCGATTATCATCCTGTCGTACGAGTCAAATTCAAACGACAAAGCCTTGGTGGATATTATAATATTATGATTTACCTCGTGATTTACGAACGCAAGATGATCGCGTTTTATAATATCAACGTTATTCGCCCGGTGGTCCTTTTTCTCTGCGTTACCGACTAACCGACTTACCGTGGTCAGTGGTCACCGGCTCGGCGAAAAATATTACAATGTCGTGTTTAGGTTTTGCGGCTTCCCCCTTCTACCACTCCCCCTCACGTCAATCTTCCCGTCGTCGTACCTACCGTCATCGTCTTTCGTTCCGCAGGTCGGTCGCACGCGCGCCTCCAACGCGTCCGGTGCGCGTAGGTATATTATAATATGACGACGACGACGACGACGACGACGAGGAATAAGTACTTACGTAATAACATGGCATTATTATGTATGGCTATAACAGGTAAGTATTACAGTCGGTATGGTCTAGCCACTAGTCACTACGGTCTACGGCACTACCTTTCATTGGCGTTCACAGCCATTGGATAACATTGTAACGGGCCATATAGCATTATAGCGGTATGCCGGTTGCCGGTATTGGTACATTATACGTCACACGTCAATACGTCATACATAGCTACATTGGTACGATTATGATTTTGTGCCATTGTCCGTTTACCAACTCCGAAATATCGTTAATCTCTTGTGCATATTCTGGCTTGTTTTTAATTAAATTGTTATATCGACGGGTTGGTGGTGACTCGTCGTTATATACTTAAGTACAAAAATATTTTTAAACAGAAACCTGTATACGGTATACATAATATTTGAAAATTGAACTTTACGAGCGTTAATTTTTAAACTGAAAGTTAGTGTACAGCTTGCACTTTTGGATTCACTTAGTGGCTAATCTCTTCCGGTTATATCGTTTAATATTCTGAAGGGAGAATTATTTGCAACAATAATAAGGTACACGGGCGATGAGCCTGTGAAATTACATTACCAAAAAAATCGAACCATGCTCAAGTTCGAAATGATCAAGAGTGATGCACAAACAATTTACTTGCAGCCACAACGATAACACGTATATAAAAAATAGATATAGGTTTGATAGACGTAATTATTAAGTGTAAAATGGTGTCGGCCGCTAGAGAACCATTTAATACACGCATGACGTATCCATATCTATCTAATTCGCGGTCTACGATTAGTTCGTGTTACGGTCGTGACTTCATATTTAGAATTTTGGCCACCATAGCACCACCCCTATTTTAGTGATTTAATGTTCACGGTCCAGTGTTAAAAATATACAGAACTATAAAAGCCTTTGTAAGAACCTTTGTATTTTATTTAAATTTTAGGCACCTAATACCTACATATTATAATAAATAATAATTATGACAAACATTTACATGATGCTTTGCTTCTATTTTTATAGTTTGGTTTCACGAACTATCGATGTCTGAAATATAATGTTATTTTGCTTTTTATGCATTTTTAGGGAACATTTTAGAATTGTTTTAAATATATACAGGCATTTTATGGGTACTATCTAAATCCAAGATCAATTCTCTCATTAGTTATTGATAGGTAACTCATACGTCCCAAAGAGTAATATCGCAGAATAGTTACATATTATTATAGACGAGAAACAAATTAATAATTATGATTAAATACTTTATTCACTACAGGCTATGGTAATCTAAGCGAACCTGTTGCAGCTCAAGTACAAAGTACATTCTACATTTCCACACTCTGGTCAAACAATTCATTTTTAAGTTAATTTATAATTAATAGATAATACGGAAGTACGAAACCTTAAAAATGATATTAGCATATTTAAGTGCAAAACTGTGAAGAAATAATAACGAATAATTATAAAAATATAAAAAATAATACATATATATTCACAGATCCCCTTGTAAACTCTATCCAGAAGCAATAGTTATTGAATTATGTATAAAAGATATAACAGTTATATAATATACCTACAATCTTATTTTGATCGTATAAAATGTGAATTTTCTTTCGAAGTTTATTAGAAGCAGTGTTAAGGCTTAACGACAATAAGCAAAAATCAAAGAAAAAACTATTATTCATATACTGATTTGCATAACATTTTTTTAGTTTTTAGTTCAAAATCCTATCATTTTATAAAATATGTATAAACATGAAGTCGCACGTATTATTATAGCTGTAGCCCCGCATTTACTTGTAGGCGTTCAAGGTTTCAATCGTATATTTTTTCAAAAGTCAAACCTTCTTTTCGTGTAAAGTAATATGTATATTAATTATTAGTATACTAAACTAATACAGTGTAATGTTTTGGGTTTAGTCCAAGAGCAAAAGTTTGTCTACCATTATTTAATTTTAAACGTTTTTCTTCGCATCAAATATTTAATATATATAGTATATACCTACCTTAATTGGTGGTTACAATAAATATTTCACTATAGTAAATACCTTAAAACTATTCGAATAAATTTATAGTATCGAAAATGTGTTATATATGTAGTAGTGGATACCTAATTAGTCATATACCAGTCACAGAAGAGGCTAAAGTCTATACAGTTATTCATAACAATAGATTTTGTTTTGTGTAATATATGTATAAGATGACATTACATATTATTATAATCATAATAATAAACGTATATGTATAAGTAGGTCTAATACACATTTTAATTAGTAATTGGGCAATTTTAAAAATCAATATTTGTTTTTTCTTCTTTTATTTTCAGTTTTTACTATAAGACAAATAATTTCTGTCTAATACATACAAGAAAAATAAATTGTTGTAAAATAATAACCACAGTATAGAAAATATAAAAAGTTCTGTACATGCAGAAATATAGCAAATAATAAAACAAAATAACTTAGGTACCAATACCTAAACGGTATACCTAGTTATGATCTATCACCTATACATTCAAGGTAAAATATAATCTACATAAATAATAACTATTTTAAGACGTCATAACATTATTTATATAATTTAATATAATATTATGAACCAACTACCAAGTACTATACAAATTCGATACATTTATTATTTTTAACGGTTAAGCACGTATTTACTTTTTTGTATGTTAACGTCAAACTAATACTTAGTATTTGGTAAGGAAATTCAGTATGTTTGTTCAAAATTGGTCACATAAATTATCTTATATCTCAGCCTTATATTAAATTCAACTTGTTTTTTTATCAAGTTTATTGTATTATATTTTACTGGTTTGCAATTATTGTAAAAATGTACCTACTGAGAGTCGAGAGGTGTATAAAAAGTAAAAACGATTTATGAAAGCGTCGTCAAAACATTGGTACTATTATTATTATTATTATTCCAAAACAGAAAAAAAGTTAAACAAATAAACATATACCACATTATACACGACACGAAATCTAACCTACATATAATTGAGTATGTTTGTCATTATTTATTAAGCGCACTCGACAGTCGACAGTAAAAACAATTTAAGTTCTAGCAATGTGTACACTGGACAAGATACGTGAAATATTTTAAACTAAAATGTGGTAATATTTTAGTTATAATAATATATATCATAAAATATAGCTAATTTAATAAAACTATAAGTACCTACTAATATCATACCTTATATTTATCTATTATTATATACTTAAAATATTTTATCACATAAACACTGGACAGTGAACATTATAAATGTACAAATATTTCGTTTACCTAATTAACCAAAACGTCGCACTTTGAAACATTGAACACTTAAGAACATTTCAAGTTAGTCATGCTTGTAGTTGATTAGGTAGGTATCCGGTAATTGCCTACTAATTTATTATATGTATAATACAAAAAACAGCTTGAATTCTTAAGCTAGATGAATAGTTGTTTTAAGGAGCGTTTACAAAAAATAGTCAAGTGGAAATTATCACATACCATTGATGATTGATCTACTTTCTGATGATATTACCGGATGCTATTTCGTATATTGATGATGTACGAAGGACTCTCAAGGTTACTCCAACAGTAGCGAAAGCGATAATCTACTTTTCTTTTTTATTTACTAAAAACGTCATTATCTTGTTTCTCGTTTATAAGTAAAATTAAAAGAAA